AGCAGAGTACATACTCAGAGCATTAATCTCTCTCTGGGGCTGAGCAGAGTACATACTCAGAGCATTAATCTCTCAGTGGCTGAGCAGAGTACATACTCAGAGCATTAATCTCTCTCAGTGGCTGAGTAGAGTACATACTCAGATCATTAATCTCTCAGTGACTGAGCAGAGTACATACTCAGAGCATTAATCTCTCAGTGGCTGAGCAGATTACATACTCAGAGCATTAATCTCTCTGTGGCTGAGCAGAGTACATACTCAGAGCATTATTCTATCTCTGGGGCTGAGCAGAGTACATACTCAGAGCATTATTCTCTCTCTGGGGCTGAGCAGAGTACATACTCAGAGCATTAATCTCTCAGTGGCTGAGCAGAGTACATACTCAGAGCATTAATCTCTCTCAGTGGCTGAGCAGAGTACATACTCAGAGCATTAATCTCTCTCTGGGGGTGAGCAGAGTACATACTCAGAGCATTAATCTCTCTGTGGCTGAGCAGAGTACATACTCAGAGCATTAATCTCTCAGTGGCTGAGCAGAGTACATACTCAGAGCATTAATCTCTCAGTGGCTGAGCAGAGTACATACTCAGAGCATTAATCTCTCTCTGGGGCTGAGCAGAGTACATACTCAGAGCATTAATCTCTCAGTGGCTGAGCAGAGTACATACTCAGAGCATTAATCTCTCTCAGTGGGTGAGCAGAGTACATACTCAGATCATTATTCTCTCAGTGGCTGAGCAGAGTACATTCTCAGATCATTAATCTCTCAGTGACTGAGCAGAGTACATACTCAGAGCATTAATCTCTCAGTGGCTGAGCAGAGTACATACTCAGAGCATTAATCTCTCAGTGGCTGAGCAAAGTACATACTCAGAGCATTATTCTATCTCTGGGGCTGAGCAGAGTACATACTCAGATCATTAATCTCTCTCAGTGGCTGAGCAGAGTACATACTCAGAGCATTAATCTCTCAGTGGCTGAGCAGAGTACATACTCAGAGCATTAATCTCTCTGTGGCTGAGCAGAGTACATACTCAGAGCATTAATCTCTCAGTGGCTGAGCAGAGTACATACTCAGAGCATTAATCTCTCTGTGGCTGAGCAGAGTACATACTCAGAGCATTAATCTCTCAGTGACTGAGCAGAGTACATACTCAGAGCATTATTCTATCTCTGGGGCTGAGCAGAGTACATACTCAGAGCATTATTCTCTCTCTGGGGCTGAGCAGAGTACATACTCAGAGCATTAATCTCTCAGTGGCTGAGCAGAGTACATACTCAGAGCATTAATCTCTCTCAGTGGCTGAGCAGAGTACATACTCAGAGCATTAATCTCTCAGTGGCTGAGCAGAGTACATACTCAGAGCATTAATCTCTCTCAGTGGCTGAGCAGAGTACATACTCAGAGCATTAATCTCTCTCAGTGGCTGAGCAGAGTACATACTCAGAGCATTAATCTCTCTCAGTGGCTGAGCAGAGTACATACTCAGAGCATTAATCTCTCAGTGGCTGAGCAGAGTACATACTCAGAGCATTAATCTCTCTCAGTGGCTGAGCAGAGTACATACTCAGAGCATTAATCTCTCAGTGGCTGAGCAGAGTACATACTCAGAGCATTAATCTCTCTCAGTGGGTGAGCAGAGTACATACTCAGATCATTATTCTCTCAGTGGCTGAGCAGAGTACATTCTCAGATCATTAATCTCTCAGTGACTGAGCAGAGTACATACTCAGAGCATTAATCTCTCTGTGGCTGAGCAGATTACATACTCAGAGCATTAATCTCTCTGTGGCTGAGCAGAGTACATACTCAGAGCATTAATCTCTCTGTGGCTGAGCAGAGTACATACTCAGAGCATTAATCTCTCAGTGGCTGAGCAGAGTACATACTCAGAGCATTAATCTCTCAGTGGCTGAGCAGAGTACATACTCAGAGCATTAATCTCTCTGTGGCTGAGCAGAGTACATACTCAGAGCATTAATCTCTCAGTGGCTGAGCAGAGTACATACTCAGAGCATTAATCTCTCTGTGGCTGAGCAGAGTACATACTCAGAGCATTAATCTCTCAGTGACTGAGCAGAGTACATACTCAGAGCATTATTCTATCTCTGGGGCTGAGCAGAGTACATACTCAGAGCATTATTCTCTCTCTGGGGCTGAGCAGAGTACATACTCAGAGCATTAATCTCTCAGTGGCTGAGCAGAGTACATACTCAGAGCATTAATCTCTCTCTGTGGCTGAGCAGAGTACATACTCAGAGCATTAATCTCTCTCTGGGGCTGAGCAGAGTACATACTCAGAGCATTAATCTCTCTGTGGCTGAGCAGAGTACATACTCAGAGCATTAATCTCTCAGTGGCTGAGCAGAGTACATACTCAGAGCATTAATCTCTCAGTGGCTGAGCAGAGTACATACTCAGAGCATTAATCTCTCAGTGGCTGAGCAAAGTACATACTCAGAGCATTATTCTATCTCTGGGGCTGAGCAGAGTACATACTCAGATCATTAATCTCTCTCAGTGGCTGAGCAGAGTACATACTCAGAGCATTAATCTCTCAGTGGCTGAGCAGAGTACATACTCAGAGCATTAATCTCTCTCAGTGGCTGAGCAGAGTACATACTCAGAGCATTAATCTCTCAGTGGCTGAGCAGAGTACATACTCAGAGCATTAATCTCTCTCAGTGGGTGAGCAGAGTACATACTCAGAGCATTAATCTCTCAGTGGCTGAGCAGAGTACATACTCAGAGCATTAATCTCTCTCAGTGGGTGAGCAGAGTACATACTCAGAGCATTAATCTCTCAGTGGCTGAGAAGAGTACATACTCAGAGCATTAATCTCTCTCAGTGGCTGAGCAGAGTACATACTCAGAGCATTAATCTCTCAGTGGCTGAGCAGAGTACATACTCAGAGCATTAATCTCTCTCAGTGGCTGAGCAGAGTACATACTCAGAGCATTAATCTCTCAGTGGCTGAGCAGAGTACATACTCAGAGCATTAATCTCTCTCAGTGGGTGAGCAGAGTACATACTCAGATCATTATTCTCTCAGTGGCTGAGCAGAGTACATTCTCAGATCATTAATCTCTCAGTGGCTGAGCAGAGTACATTCTCAGAGCATTAATCTCTCAGTGGCTGAGCAGAGTACATACTCAGAGCATTAATCTCTCAGTGGCTGAGCAGCATACTCAGAGCATTAATCTCAGTGGCTGAGAGAGTACACTCAGAGCATTAATCTCTACTGGCAGAGCAGAGTACATACTCAGAGCATTAATCTCTCAGTGGCTGAGCAGAGTACATACTCAGAGCATTATTCTATCTCTGGGGCTGAGCAGAGTACATACTCAGAGCATTAATCTCTCAGTGGCTGAGCAGAGTACATACTCAGAGCATTAATCTCTCTCAGTGGCTGAGCAGAGTACATACTCAGAGCATTAATCTCTCAGTGGCTGAGCAGAGTACATACTCAGAGCATTAATCTCTCAGTGGCTGAGCAGAGTACATACTCAGAGCATTAATCTCTCAGTGGCTGAGCAGAGTACATACTCAGAGCATTAATCTCTCAGTGGCTGAGCAGAGTACATACTCAGAGCATTAATCTCTCAGTGGCTGAGCAGAGTACATACTCAGAGCATTAATCTCTCAGTGGCTGAGCAGAGTACATACTCAGAGCATTATTCTATCTCTGGGGCTGAGCAGAGTACATACTCAGAGCATTAATCTCTCAGTGGCTGAGCAGAGTACATACTCAGAGCATTAATCTCTCTGGGGCTGAGCAGAGTACATACTCAGAGCATTAATCTATCTCAGTGGCTGAGCAGAGTACATACTCAGAGCATTAATCTCTCAGTGGCTGAGCAGAGTACATACTCAGAGCATTAATCACTCTGGGGCTGAGCAGAGTACATACTCAGAGCATTAATCTATCTCAGTGGCTGAGCAGAGTACATACTCAGAGCATTTCTTTTTTATAATTCTTTATTTTTCTTTGTGCATGGAATGACAAAACGTTTTCCAATCCCACAACGGCATAATTGAAAGATATAAACACAGTAATTGTACATTCGTGGCATGAGAGTATCGGCACATTTTTAAATGTTATGGTATAAACAGGCTATTCTGGTAGCGATGCCTATCTAGGTAGACTGTTATATGAGAAATACTGGACTATGCAGTAGTTTAGGCACACATTTAGTATTTAGGTTGTGAGGTCGTAGCAGAGATTACAACTAAAGTAACAGTAGTATATATGCTAATAAACTGGGCTCAGGCTAAAACAAAGCTATTAATCTTATGCAGGTAACTTGTTGGGTGTATTGAATCCTACATTTAAGATGGGCTAGGTGAGGCCATGTAAGATTAACATCCTAATCTATAACCAGGCTAAACTACAGGTCCTATCAAAACATGGGTATGAGTACTAGCTTAAATGCTTCATCTGGTTGGCTTACGAGAGTCTCATAGCATGGAGCTAGCTGCCGCAAAGCTCAGTGTCTCATAGTGCTCAGGTAGATGCAGCTTGACGGCCCCATTCAGCAGTCAGCCGATTCCTGTGTCTATTCTCTGCGCGGCTTGTTCTGGTCGGTCTGCGATGGGGTCTTAATGGGTGAGCAAAGGGAAATGGCAGAGTTGGTGCCGCTGTAGAGTTCCGTCCCTCCTTCATCTCGGAGGTGCTCTCCGCATTTGTCTTTCGCTGGCAGGAGGCTGGATCTCATGGGTCTTCATCTGTGGGGTTGCTTTTCGGCGGTTGGAGGTTTCCTGCGCCGCTGTGTGGTGAGTGGTCTTGCTGTGGTGCATGTGAGGCTGAGTGTCGGCGTCTGAGGGATCTGTTTCCCTATCCCGCCACCTCGCCTCCCGCCTCTGTCTCTGACTGGAGGTCGCCCCGGGAGCTCATGGTGAGTATGTACACAGGTGTCGCTGTGTAGTTGGCCGGATCCATGCCGCCACTGTTCTCATGGCGAGGTGGAAGGACCAGCCCTTAGTGCGGATCCTTGTCCATAGGCTGTTACATAACCGGTCAAAGAACTCCTTTTGGCATTTTGGCGTCGGATGCGCCTGGGCCGTCATCTTGATTGCGTTTCTATTGTCTCGTTTGATTGTAGGTTTGGTCGCTTTGCTGGGGTAATCGTCCCCAGCGAGGACCGGGATATCCCCCGCCGGTCCAGAGGAGGGGGTAGCAGGGCAGTAGTCAACGCTTGCTTGTGAGCAGGTCTCATGCCGGGGGGTCGACCGTCTCCCCCAGGCCTCGGACTCCGCTCCAGTGTAGGCCGCGTGGCCGGTCCATGTGGTACATGACGGGTATCGTTATGCTCCCCATGCGGTTCCACTCCGTTTTTGGGGCTTTGTGTGCCACCAGCATGGGCAGTTTAGTCAGGATGCGCGTTTGTTTGGTGCAGGAGCTCTCAAGGAGTACGTCCGGCCTTCTTGGCTGTCAGGCCCCGCCCCCACTCAGAGCATTTCTAATAGGAAGTTGACTTGTGAAAAGACAATATGTATTCCTAACACTAAAGTTCCCCTCTATCTGTGCTTCCCCCTCCCTCTCTTCCCCTCTGTCCATGAAAGTGTTAAAAAAAAAACTTTGATTCACTTATTTGTTTCCAGCGCTGATGTCCCTGGGCTTCTGGTTGCACTCCTTCGATGTCAGCCAATGGGGGGGAACCTAATGCTCATGCGCAAAGAGCTCATGCATTAGGCCTTTTTGCCACAAGAAAGCATTGACTCAATGTTTTCTGACATTTGTGTACAAATGTTGTGCCTAAATCAGGGGTACTTCTTTTTCTCATCATATCCTATATTTCCTCTAGAATAGAGATTATTGAAAAGAATTCTCGTGAAATTGAGAATCAGATACAGAAACTTGAAGATGAGAAGAGGGCATATACTGAATTAGAGAAGTCCGAGCCTCCAGAAGCAATGATAGACCCTTCTAAGCCCATCCCAGGTATGTGCAGGGCTCTATTTAATTTCTTGCAATATAGTGCATACCTTATTTGAAAATAATGATCAAACTAAATATTTGATGGATGTTATCTAACAGGTGTAGCCAGCAGGCAGCTCTCCAGCCATTATGAAATAATTATTATAAGTAATGTATTACTTTCCTACAGCAAAAAAATTTAGGTCACAGTCTAATGTAACCCTATCATCATTATGGTTCTCAGCTTAGAATTATACACATTATTATGCCTGGAGTCCAAGCTCACCAGATTCTAAAATCTATTTCCATATTCTTTGGGACACAGAGAAATAGGCAAAGGCTAACCCTGGCAGGACTGATATGATTTGGGTACTGACATGGTAGAAAATGGCATGGTGGGTGTGAATGTGAAGTGGATTGATATTGAAAGCAGAAAAGGCCTACTGACACAAATGCTAAAACAAGGACAACAATGGAGGCAGTTGAGAGTGGATATTAACTTACAATTAGAACAAATAAGGAAGGTAGCTAGGACTTGGAAACGGATGTAGAGGGGAAGGAGAGGCTCATAAAGAGGGGACTGGTTTGGAGGACAGAAAAGAAAGGAGGGGAATCACATATGGGGACAAGGATAAATATATATTTGAAGAGTTGCCAATGATAAAACAAAAAGGCAAGAGGGTCTGGGCACTTTTATATTGTTAAACAATGCGTATAAAATATTGGACATCATTGTCCTAGAAGTATGGTTGGAGGTGGGATTCAAATAGCATTTTCTGGTACAAGTTAGTATTTAATGTGAACCATGCAGTTTTGTGCGTAAAAGGCCCATTGTCATGTACGCTACACACTGAATGTTTAGATCCGTTTGCTTATGTGTCAAATACATTTGAGCAATTCATGTAATGAATGGGTGTGGGGTGGGGAGGTTGGAGCTCTCGGGATGCAGCTATCAAGAACATGTAGTTGACCTCTTGTATTTATGGTCTTTTTGTCAATGTGTTGCCTGTTTTGCTTTTTGTAAATGTGTCCAATATGGTATTTGTACCTTTCTTTAGATTTTTTAGGTTGGTCTTTTCCTTTCTCACAGGCATGACGATAGAAGAATCTCTTGATTTTGAAGCTCTTGCAAAATACCAGAAACAGCTAGAGGACAGAAAGCAATCCTTGAAAGATGCCATGAAAACAAAATATGTTCCTACTCAGATAAAGGAAGAATTGGATGAAAAGCTCACTCTTGCCGTGCAGGAAAGAGATGAAGTAGAATTAATAAACAATAAATTAATGGATAGGTAAATAATTAAACAGTTACCAAAAGAAGCATGCTAAATTAATCTGTAAGTATAAAAAAGAGATTTAAGATATAAAAAAATAATTAAACAGACTTGTTGTATACTGATCCAAAAGAACTGTTCACAGGGCTTTCAACTGTGTTTTCAAAGCAACAACTAAATATATTGCATTAAAAATTAAAGTCAAAAAGACAGAGGAATACTTTGATAAGAAGGGAGCCAACACTGGCATGAACCCTCTCGGGCAGCACGAAAACAACTCTTCAGCCGAGAGGATACATCATAAGCATCTTAGGACGTCATGATGTTTGTGATGGCCTGTGATCTCAACCAGACACGAATGTTTCAACTGATATCTAAAGAAAATATTATTTATAGAAAGTGGTGAATTCCAGTGATCACTATAAACTATGTGCTAAAATTGTATTCACTTTAATATGCCTAATATATGTCAATATAGTGATTTGGTGCATAGATTCAGCCTCTTTTGTCTGGAAACGTAAAACTTTACCATTTCTGAGAAACCGCAGTTTTTTTTTCATTTTTAAATTAAAGCATACCTCTTCTTCCTCTTTAAGACCTTCAATATTCAAAGTTCTTGACGTCCAGAGTCATTGCACTGCCCTTATTAAGTATATTATTTATTAAATTGTGGGCTGCGTCAGTCAAACCATACTTTACAGAGAATAATGCACAGATGGTGACACCCACAATGCACTGGGGTTGAAACTGTGCTTAGTTAGATAGTAATGAAAATAATGCCCAGCACTTCTAATGCAAGCTCTAAAATTATTTAAGGCAGTAACACACAGACAGATGACTCTGCCTCATACAGGGCTTTTGTGTTAAGCTGAAACATTGTCCATCTGTGTGTTGTTGCTTTAAATAATTAGAGAGCTCGCTTTACCAGTGCTGAATCTTAATTTCCATTGCTGATCTGTTGGATTGCGGTTCTGGAGTCTTTACACCCAATTAAGGTATTTATTAGTGAATACTCACTTCATTACTCAGTCAAGATAACATGGAAAAGAAACCGCACTCAATTCGCTTGACAAAGACTCCATTGAGAGTCGAAACGTTGCATTGTTTCACATGTTGTAATAAAGGTGCCTGAAGACATTGGAGTGCATGGACCCTTTTTTTAATAATGGTATTTATCAGTCAAAATAACGGGCAGATCATGTTTATTGTACTTCTGTTACAATTATTTATTTCTTGCCATTTTTCCTTAATACAAACCTATAAACATTTTCTATATTAGATGTAACTAGAATACTATAGTTTAACTCTAATAAATAAATTGTAGCCATTTATAATTTAAAATTGTTTGACGACTTGTTGAATTTCTAGATACAGGAAAAGTAGAGTTGCAGCGGACGCCATTTCATCGTGGGCAAGGTCTGATAAAAGTATTTCTCTCCATGATGCTTTATCACAAGCTATAGCTAAAGAAAGCCAGTTGAAAGGTATTGTCAAGAATTTTCCAGAAACCGTTTTTAATCTTAAAAAATCTTTCAAACATAGCTATTGTCTCGAAGTGACATGGTCAGTATGTTACCATTCTGGTCAGTTAGAAAAACAGATTTTATATTGTCACGTAAGGCAACTTCAGTGGAATGATGTGTGAATTTCATTATCATATACCTTGAGGTATTAAAAGGGTTTGTTGCCTGCCTAAGTTTCGAGCGACAATAATGTAAGAAACATTTAAATAAATATAAAAAAATAGAACTTTTTTTATATATTTCTAACAGCAGGAAATGAGTCGGGTTTAGCCTGTTTCTCACCCTCACCCCATGTGTGATGGGGAGAGGTTAATTAACAAAAGAACCAAACCTATGTAGGTGTCCAAATAATTGTGAACTGCACTGTATGTTTAGATACTCTCACTAGGCATTGTGATTTCAACTTTCAGCTTTTATCCAACAGATGACTTGATACCTGCAAATGTATTTGATGACACGGATCCCAGGAAAATCTCAGAAGGCAAATCTTTGCTAGAATATGTTGAAAGGTAATTTGCATGTCATTAGTGGTGTATCTTTGTTTTGTGCCTCCTTAGGTATGACTAAACCTGGGCACCCCCCAATCTAAATTTGCCCCACCTTCCTGCCATGGCTGCACCTCTTTCTGATTAAGAACCCTCCCCTTCCTCTTTAGACTCCACCTTTTCCTACTTCTTTTTAAAGGGATACTATAGTGCAACGAAAACAAACCTGTTTTCCTGGCACTTTAGTGCCCGCCTTCCTCGTGGTAGACCGACACTAGAGGTGGAGTTAACCCCTCAAAGTAATTATTGCAGTTTCTGAGAAACAGCAATAATTACACTTGCAGGGTTAAGGGGACTGGGACACTGCACCCAGAACACTTCAATGGGCTGAAGTGGTCTGGGTGTCTATAGTGTCCCTTTAAGCACACACTCTGACAGACACACACATTCACTGACAGACTCACACTGGCAGATACACACTGACAGAAACAGACTCACTAAATTGACCCACACACATTCACCGACTGGTACACACTGGCAGATACAGACTGACAATCACACGCACACACACTTAATGACAAACACAGACATCACTGACAGACACAGACTCACTGATTTGACACACACACATTCACTGACACACACTCATTCATTGATAGACACACACACTGACAGATACAAACACTGTCAGGCACACACTGATAGTCACATACACACTCAATGACAAACAGACTTTCACTGATTTGACATACACACACACGCTCCATCACTCACAGACACAGTCACTCACAGACACACACACTTACACTCACAGTCACACACACGTACACTCAGACACACACACATACACTCAGACACACACACATACACTCACAGACACACACCTACACTCATAGACACACATACACTCACAAATTATTAATATTATTGTAATTTAACATTTTCCACCCAGCCTTCCTACCTGGAGAGCTGGCTTGGGTCTGTCGTTGGGGATCCAGTGAGGCGGCTGTATTGGCATCATATACGGCGAGGGAGCTGTGATCTCCCTGCTCTGCTCCCTCGCATCTCGCGAGCTGTCTACTGATGCCAGGAGCCGAATGATGTCAGAGATGTCGGAGCAGAGCAGGGAGATCACAGCTCTCTCGCCGTATATGATGCCAATACAGCTGCCCGCCAGGGGGTCTACAAGGTGGCCAACAGGCCAGCTCTTGGAACCCCCCCATGACAGGGGGAACACCAGGGAAATCCGAGTGAGTGCTTGGGGGGCGCGTTTTTTTTTTTACCACCCCCCGGTTAGTGCCGCCCCAAGGCAAATGCCTAGTTTGCCTTGGGCTAAATACAAATATGCATGTCATTGATAATATATTTTAATAAACATGAGCTTTTCATAGACCTGTCACATAAATTTGAAATGTAAATTTGTCATAAACCTGGGTTCACAATCGAGTCTTTCCTTGACTAGAGCCCTATATATTCCAAAATCACTTTATTGACAGGAGTGTTATACACAGGACAGTGACCACCGTACATATTTGTTTTATTGCCTTTTTTGCTGCTTGCAATCAACCCTTAGTTCCGTACTGTTCAGGCTTGGGTGGATAGCGTTACAGTGTCCTGTTTCCCTTCAGAGTGGGTGCATGTTGTTCTTTTTTGGTGCATTTTTCTGTTTATATTCTAGTAGAGGCTGGGCTACAGTGGATGTTGCCCTAAATGCCCCTTGTGACATTGGAACATGTCACTAGTGCATTTCTGGCAACCCTATAGTATTCTATTTCATACATCCATGAGCTAGAATGACTCAGACACACTGTAGGTAGGCAGGTTTGGTAGAATAAAAGGCCTGTTAAATTACTCTTTGAGTATGGAGATTTCTATCTTCAGGGTTACTGTGATAAGTTCTTGCCTTGCAGCACCTGGGGTAAGATTGGGAATCAGAAAGATTTATTTCTAAAAAAAAAAAAAGCACAGCTCAGGTTATTATGCACTTGCCTTTTGTATTTCAAATACTCACTCCAGGTACCCACAAATATTAGAGGTAATGTGTACGTCCGGTTACAGTTAGTTACACAGTCTATGTACCAAAATTATTTTATCATGAAAATAAAACTGTTTTGGGAAATAGATGCTGATCTTGCAGTTTTACAAATCAAAACAGGATAGTTTCTGAAAAACATTTTGCAGTTTCCACTCCTACTAATGGCTGTAAGACAGACTTCCATAGTAAAATAGGTCTAATTCTTGAATATGATGTCTGACTTCAGCATGCAATATATGCTGAAGCTAGATTCTGTGTGCGACCAATGCTTCTCAAAAAAGCATTGTATTGGAGGATCGTGGAGATTGCCACATATCTGCTATTTGTCTTCAGTGCTTGTCTATGAGAAGCATCTGATTGGACACAGATTACCAAGTTTAATGATCTGACTGGAGGAGGAATGGGCTGTAGTGAGGAGACTATCCCGTCTTTGGATTATGGGTAAATTCAATGTTTTTCTTTTTAGGATATACAATCAATCTATGGCAATTATTTGATAAACCAGAAATTATTAAGAGCTGACATGGAATCATACATTTTTAGGACAAAATTGCCCGAAACTACTTGGTGAATTCTCCAGACTTCCTTCTTTAGTGTACAAACTCTATTATTGAGTAATGTTGTTCATTAATCTGTTATGAATAGATCTGCTACATTTAACGGTGACTGTTCTGTGCTGGCAGGTACTATACAATTATAGGGTTGTAGTCTGCAGTGTGTACAATCCCAGCTTGCAGAACACACTGAAATGCTGCAAGATAACTTGTTAAACGGAATGCCTTTGGCAATAATTGTATAGTTTTTGGCACCAAGAATTCCTATATTGTCTCATCTTACCCTTCCTTACAGATTTAATGACTTATTGTTAAGCGGTCAGTACAAGGCTGCGGCATCCCTCGCAGCACACAGTCCTAGAGGAATTCTTCGAAACGTGGAAACTATGGAGAGATTCAAAGGTATGTTGTGAGGTTCTTGTTTATTACTGTAGACACCAAAACCACTTCAGCCATTGTTTCACTTTAATTTAAAGAGTAGTTGTGCTCATCCTATGTGATGATTGGTACTATTCTAGTGGTGAACTTCTTGTCCCATAAGCCACTGCTGTGTAGGAGTTTATAGAATAAAATTTTCTTCCTGGTGAGTGAATGATCAGCCTGCAGCTATGGGCAGACCCACAAAACACTGCACAAAGCAAAACAGTAAAGGTTGAAAGTCCTCTAATTCTTATTATAGGGAAGCACTGGATAAGCATTTGCACTTGACACCCATGTGATTCTTGTCCTCAATGCTTCTCTATGAGAACCATTCGATTGGACGAGAAGGCAAAGAGGAGGCAGCCTCTTGGAAGACGTCACAGGAGGCAGAGTGGGCAGCTATGCAGAGTGAGTCTTGGCACTGGACAAGGGGTAAATAACATGTTATTTTTTTATGAAATTTAGGAGGCCCCTGAATCTTAAATAGGGAGTAGAACACTAGCGGCAGAAATACATGTTTGTATTCTTAAAATTATAGTATTCATTTAAAGATTCATTTCTTTGATAAATATACTGCAATCACCTGCATGCATTTAGTGTCCTGATTAAAATCAGTGCTTTCGCATCAGAAGTACAGGATTTGGAAGATTCACAAAGCCCCAATATTGATAAAAATCAGAACCAAATGGATCTGGCAGAATGCACATTCAGAAATTATTATTAATTTGTTTTCTTGCAAATTAACTGATAATTCGAAGTGTTATTTGCCCTCTTGAAGACGTTAAAACCAGTGTGAAAGTTAATATGTAGTGGCTGGCCAAACGTTTCAATAAAAATAAATAAATAAAAATGCCTGTGGTGGGTTAATAAGACCCCCATATTACTATTAAGGAGATATTAAACCTCCCTATGCCCACACTTGCCATGCAGTAGGTGGAGACATATCTCCTAAATTTTTAAAACTAGTGACTGGGCAGCCATTACATGGGTACATTGCAGTCTATTAACAGCGCAGGAGAGTAGAAATTATATGTTAAGCACACTGTGCAATAAGTTTAAAAATTAGACCTCTCTTTATAGGAAGTGTGTAAGTAACAGGCAGGGGAAGTGTGGCTGTGGCTGCATAAACAAAGTGATTTCGCTCCCTAATTACAGAGAATTGAGCGGTGAACCTGCAGGGGAATGATCTATACACCAAAACTGCTTTGTTAACCTAAAAATGCTACGTGAAGCTAAAGTTGTTTGTTTCTTAAGGTGTCCATTTAAGTACTAATGCTTATCAGGTCAGGTGTGTGGAATTTGTATTGCAAATTGGAGTGTACTTAATACCAAATTGCTAAATTTAGGCTAGAACTGTCAGGCTGTAACTATTCTCATTAAAAATTTGTAATTACAATTTGCTGATTACTGAAGAAACCCTTCTGAGTGAACCGCTCAGACAATTGCAGGGTAAGTGCCATGCGTAAAATGAACTTTTCATAGTGTCTAAGTGGTTTTCCTTATCAATTAATTGGAAAATATGTCTTTTTTGTTCAATTCGCAAAATGATAAATGCTAACTGATGGTCAGCATCATAAGAAGCAGACATGAATAGTGTACAGATGTTACAAGCAGGAATGAACTATGGGAACTTGCTGCTATTACGTAGCTGCAATAAATTGACCGGCTGTTGGTATTATAGATGCTAAACAGCTGCTTTTTAACAACAAGCAAGGAAATTAGCCCTGTGTGGGTTTCATTAGATTAAATTCCAGATTATGATAATATTTGGGTAACAGCCTTTGCATAGCTGTTTTTAGTCCAAAACTTTCATCATCGCCATCCAAACATAGATCCCTTTATTAATCGATCCGTTTCTACAATTTCTACATAGCTTTAAGCTGTTAAGATATCTCAGTAGATTAATGTGCCTGCTGAAGAGGTCTTGCTAATGGGTTCATTCTGACTTGCATCTTTCTGAGGATGAATTAGTACAAGATCCTTTGAGTAATAGTAATATTATGTGACTTATGATGAAGTGCATTGATACCATCTGCTAGACTAGAGCAAGCCAAGCTCACTGTTATTATTAACTAAGCAAGCATTTATCTAGCCTTGCCCTCCAATATTCCTGTTTTCCTACTAAGGTTCTATCTATATATCCTCTTCACAGCTGCTGAAGACACTGACGGACAGGTTTTCCCTTTGTTATTATTCTTCGAAGCCCTTATGGGCACCAGTTATTTGGCAAAGCATCCTGTCAATGCAACCCTCACACTGGAAGGAGTTAAGTGCGCTCTGTCCTATGACAAAATAGATCTGGTTGTTCACTGGGTTACACATCAGAGGTAAAACATACTGTTTATATGATGATCACCTTTATGTGTATTAGTCTGATCACAATACCAGGGAAATAAAAACCTGTCTCTAATCCTCACTCTTGCCTTGGCAGTCGATAGACTGATCAGTATCCCTTTACAAGAATACAGCGTTACACTATTGATCACACACTAATCTGGTGGAGGTAGAGTTACAATTGTATAAACTCTGTTATAAACATAAACCTAGAATGAAAATGTAACAATACTAATCAGCACACAAACCTGTGCACCAAACCGTCATTGCCAGCTGCTCAATCGATCCATACAGACATTAATTCTTTGCTTCCATTCCCGTGCTTATGAATTTAGGGTTAACACTTTCTTATGTTATGATTCTCATGACTTTCACTTTGCACTGTTTTTTTTGCCTGTATTTTCTATTTTTCACTTTTTACCCAGCGCCGGGCAGCTACTCCAACTCTTCGATGATCCTGCCAATGGATCATCTCTATCCAATCCAATGCTTCTCGTAGCAGCTGCTAGAGGAATTCTCACTGACAAATATAAAGACTGTCATTTCTCACAAACAACATGTTACATTTGTCTGAGTCTATTAAAATGAGGGGTTTTGGTACTTAGAGTGTCCTTTTAATGTTTGGCAAACACACCGTGCAATGGATTTTATTTTTAATTTAAACCTCTTTCCCATTTCTTTATTTTAATAAAAATAAACCCCCTGCCTTTTCTTGCCTTCTGGGCATTGGGTTTGCCTCCCCTCTGTAGTGTTTCAGAAAGCACTACAGAGCATGTACATCAAAATGTCAAAATTGCTTTTAGAAATTCTTACCTTTGGTTTTTTTTGCAAATGAGCAATTAATGTGTGTGCTTTAGATATTTGCGCCTGTCACAGAAAACCTGCCATGATTTGTAACTTTTTAAATTTATTACCAAAAACTAAATTCTGAAATCAAAGTGCCAAAAAATAGCACAAGATCTCACCAAAGCAGATGTACTAAAAGCAATTCCTGTCATTTTTATACATAGCACCCATATGCTTTATCCTCAGGATAGAAGGTAATTATCGTTTTGTTTGTTCTGTAAGGAATTTGTCTTTCTGTGATGAAAGTACTTTTCTCTCCATGTCTAATCTTTTTTCATATATTCGTAGGATATCATTTTCGGAGGCTCTCGGTGATATTATTAAGGAGTACGGGGATAAAGAGCCATTTCAGAAATCCACCTGTCTGGCCTTGATGCAGTTAATATACAGGAAGTGCTCAAATGTCAGGAAGGCAGCGCTCTGTATGTGTTTGCAGGACCAGGTACAAGGGGCCCTGGAATACACCTATCAAAGCAAACGCTTCTCGTTGGGTAATTCATTATATCTAAAAATAATAGTAATTTAATACAGTCTGTCCTCCCAGGTTAAGGGGTTAATTATGGTAAACCATTGTATTAGATGTTAGCACTTAGTAAAGGCTGTATGGTAACAAAAGAAGTAAAGGATTTTATTAGCATTGTCTTGTGTGATACTTCTATATAATGTTGTGTAGTTAGCTCTTACAGAAAGGTTTAAACATATGGAGGGCACTTGTTCTAATTACACGTGTGTATAACAGATTATTTTTGACCTAGCATATTATTGTGTTGGCTCACTAGATTATAAATTTTGGTAAAATCCCTGAAGATTTGCAATTCTCGGTTGTCCAATTTTGATAACCACGTGTCATACGTAGCTTTTGCTTACCGTCCTTGGTGGAAACAATCATGATCCTCTACCGCTATAAGGTGTCTGCTTCACACTGTGATACATTATGTGTGTTTAGAGATACCCTCCTTCACATCACTTTCTATCGTACTGAACAAGCCTGACTAGCAACCTCTGACCTCTCATTGGCATGGTTTTTACTAACAGAAGTGTAGCTCAGAGATATTTTATAATTTATAGATTTTTTTCTGTGTTAGAGACAGACATATCAGAAATGCCCATCAGTCAGCTGATTCATAGATATTGTATTCGCCTTGCCTAGCTCCAAGTGTAACAATCAGATCACAATTAGATCACAGATCTATGTTGTTCCAATGTTTGTCAAACACCAACTAAACCTCTTCAACGTGTCAAAAAGGAAACATTCATATTTGAGTTGCTGCCGCTTGCTTTTCAGTTTTGCTCTTTATTTTAACATGCTGATGGTGTACCTAATAAATAATAGACTGACTATTTAGTTACTAGATGTCATACGAGTAGATAATAAGACAAATTGATAGATTCAGATACAGAGACTCTTATGAATAGACGGTGAATATATAGATTGATGGATGGAGTAAGATACAATCTCTCTCTTTCTTTCTATGTGTATTTGTGTACTACATGTATTATCAATATCTTTTTTACAGATGACTATTTATTTCTGCTTAAAAACTGTCCTACGGCAGAGCTGATCCATGGTTTGACCAGAGAATGGAATGGAAAGCCCGCAGTGTTATCTGTTGGACAGGCTGCGCTCTCTCTGATCTATACCGACCACAAGGAGTATGGATTTCAGCTGTTAGAAAACATACACACATGTGGAGAAAGTATGTATCCGTGTGTAATATAAAACAATCCACATGCCAGCAGTGTGTTTGTATACTAATCCGAGTAGGCATAGTTTAATAAGTAATTTGAAGACAATGACTGCGATTACTGTGGGGAGGGATATTATAAATACTAGAAACATTTTATAAGTTCAATCGCCGATATTTATACATGGTGAGATATACATGGGGAAGAGGTGGGGGGATTACTAAATTAGGATTTGTAAAGTAAATTCCCAACTTAGTATAAAGCCTGCTTTTGAACATTCACAACGTTTTGAGGAAGCTCCTCATACACATGCTTCAAGTCCACTTCTTTTCTATGGTTTTCCCATATTTTCCATTTCTCTGATTACCTTTGTTCCTTGATCGCTCCCTTCTTTCTATTTGATTACCTTTTTTCGTTCCATGATCCCCCCTCTTTCCTATTCTCTCCTTACCTAATTCCATTATTTCCAAAGCCCCATCTGTCTTTCTTTGCTGCGGTTCCTCTCTAATGGCTCTCATTCCTCTTGTAATTTCTCTGTCTGCCCCCTGCATTGTCCTGCTCCCTATTCTTCTCTTTTACTCCCATTCCCTCCTTGCTCCCCATTTACCCCCACCCCGCCCATATTGCCCGAGTGCTCTCACAAGCCTCTTTCATTCTTCAACTGCTTTACCATGGATTGCTTTACCTCTCTCTCACAGTGTTGCCATTGACCAACACATCTCTCTCACTGCTACCCAATGTATTGCCCCATCTCTCTCACTGCTACCCCATGTATTGCCACATATTTCTCACTGCTACCCTATCCCCATATATTGCCTCATCTCTCTCACTGCTACCCGATGTATTGCCCCATCTCTCTCACTGCAAGCCCATGTATTGCCCCATCTCTCTCACTGCATCCCCATATATTGTCCCATCTCTCTCACTGCTACCCAAATATTGCCCCATCTCTCTCACTGCATCCCCATATATTGTCCCATCTCTGTCACTGCTACCCAAAGTATTGCCCCATCTCTCTCACTGCATCCCCATATATTGTCCCGTCTCTCTCACTGCTACCCCATGTATTGCCCCATCTCTCTCACTGCTAGCCAATGTATTGCCCCATCTCTCTCACTGCTACCCTATGTATTGCCCCATCTCTCTCACTGCTACCAACGTATTACCCAATCTCTCACTGCTACCCCATGTATTGCCCCATCTCTCTCACTGCTACCCAATGTATTACCCCATCTCTCTCACTGCTACCCCATGTTTTGCCCCATCTCTCTCACTGCTACCCAATGTATTGCCCCATTGCCCCATCTCTCTCACCCAATGTATTACCCAATCTCTCACTGCTACACAACGTATTGCCCAATCTCTCACCGCTACCCCATGTATTGCCCAATCTCTCACCGCTACCCCATGTATTGCCCAATCTCTCTCACTGTTATCCCATGTATTGCCCAATCTCTCTCACTGTTATCCCATGTATTGCCCAATCTCTCACTGCTACACAAGGTATTGCCCAATCTCTCACCACTACCCCATGTATTGCCCAATCTCTCTCACTGTTATCCTATGTATTGCCCAATCTCTCACTGCTACCCATGTATTGCCCAAACTCTCACTGCTACACAATATATTTCCTCAGCTATCACTGCCAGCCCATGTATCACCCCATATCTCTCTCTGTTATAAAATTAATTCCCTAAATCTCTCTCATTGTTCCACGATAGATCATGCCATCTCTATTATAACTTTCCCCAGTTTTCAGTCTATTTTTTCCTCCCTTTCTTTTCCTACTTTTTATTTTATTTCTCATTGTACCCTTGCTGTTGTGCCCCCCCATAAATCCCTTTAAATTACACCTCTGCTCCATGGGAAAGAAGCAAGGCATCTCCTCTATTGCACAGAGTGATACCTAGCACTGCTCCCAAAATTGTCTGACCCGTTTGTAAACAAACAAGAGACTGAGATTTTTTCTCTAGTGTTTATATTTCAGTAACAGGAGACATACTGTTAATATTTCAGCACCTTGGCTGCTTGATCACATTAGTCTCATCCATTAGAGTGCATATTGAGGTACATATTACCTTTCACAAATTAATAATATATTTTAATGGAGAATTGATCCCTGGAGCGTTCCTTATTTCATTTCACTTGTAAAACCTTCATTATGCATCCAGAATTTAACTTTTATTAAATACTTTATTTTACTCATGAATTATGTGCAAGAGGCCATGCATTTCCACATCTGTAACTATGATTAATTCAAATACTCAGTAGTCTATTCACTAAGCAGCAATTTCCATTGTCCTGGGAATCAAAATACACACAAAAATGACAGAGTTGGAAAAAATCTCTAGCAATATTTTAACAACTTTTAAAGGCACACTATAGTCACAAAAACAACTTTAGCTTAATAAAGCGGTTTTAGTGTATATATCATGTCTCTGAAGTCTGACTGCTCATTTCTCTGCCATTTAGGAGTTAAATCACTTTGTTTCTGTTTATGCAGCCCTAGCCACACCTCCCCTGGTTGTGACTCACACAGCCTGCATGCATTAACAGTTCAGAAATGAAACTATTTTTCCCTATGTCTGAATTGTGGGCACATAAAAATAATTCTATAAGGTTGTCTATGCTTTACAGGTGCTGCTTAGTAATGAAGTCAATACATAGCTGGTAACATTATAATGCAAGAATATATATATTCTATACTGTATTCCCATTCACATTCATTCCTAAGGGTTTTCTGAGAATCAATTTTATTTCTGTTGTAGCATCCTCCGAGAAACCTTAATTAGTCATTTCCCAATATACACAACTGGATCAAATACAAATGACATTACTTCTATTTTGCATTTCATTATGACCTAGCAGTATGTTTTATAACTACCACAGTCACCTTGAGGAAAGAAAACATAATCATTGTTAAAAATTAAATATGTCCATCATTTAGAAGCAAGTATACCCCTATTATAGTCTCTCTACTCAAGTGCTAGAAAATTGAGAATCTCTGTGGTCACTGCTTTTGTTCCTGGCATGTGTCAAATTCGAACAATCCAGAGTGTGAATATAATTTATTGTGAGGGTTCTATAGTTGGGGAATATGTTTTGTGCCGTCTGGATTTCGAGAGTGGAATAGATATTACATGTATTCTCTCTCTGTGGTTACATCTCGTATTGTTTTGCACCCCAGAGACTATAAATATCACATGGTTAATCACTAAAGTGAAAATTGAAGGTGAATTTCAAATTCAAGGCATAAATAGCTGAACTGGAAATATTCTCTAAGCCTGCTATACTTCCAGCTTAGCTACTTTGGTCTTGGATTTAAAATTCACTTTAAATTCTAACTTTTGTTAATAACCCTATTACTTTCACATGTCCCTCCCCTCTGGTATACCTACTTGCCTGCATTTATTCTATATGATTTCCTTACTATCACAGAAAGGGTGGCATTACATGATTGCTTATTGTATTGCAGCTACTATTAGTGCAGGCAACCTCCGGTACTCCACATGCTGCGGACTACATCTCCCTTGATTTATTACATTTTATTATATTCTTATTTTCTCTTTCTCAGGAGCTTTGGAACAAGTTATTCTTAATGACGTAGCCTGTACCCTGGAAGGCTGGGCCGAGATTGCCGAAGAATGTTTGAACAAAAACTATAGATTGTTGTCTGAGAAGATTCTGTCTATTGTCACGTCACAGGATGGCGTTGTGGAGATTTCGTCCAAGGATGAGGATGTAAAAATTATGGAGCATGTTTTCATGTAATACTTCCAGAGTGCCAGCAGAGGGCGCTTGTGCACCGCTTTGAGTTATAACAAGACCAGCTTGCTGCCTGAGTAACTGACTATCAAGTTTAGAAATCGTGCTAAATAAATGACTTTAAAAAAAATAATTTTTTAACATTCCCCTGTTTTGTTTTGCCATAGCATTACACATGCTGCGTATTAGTTCATCTCACTATTAAATTTTTAGTGTATCTCACCAGTGTCATTGCAAATAAGTTTCTAGATAAAATGTTGTTTTTTTTTTTTTGCAGCATTGTTAAAAACCTGTGTACGGGAGGATTTATGACTGTAATAAAATACATCTTCAGGTTTGCAGTCGTGTCGCTAGCACTTAAAACCATTGTTTCACTTATCACTACAGCCGTAGCGTTTTCAATTACAATACAGTAAGCTGGGTACTAAAGAAAGTTTTTGTGTAACAAAACTGTTGACAGGAACGTATATGTATATATGAGAAGCGCAAACCAAACATTTTTGATTTGTGACAGGCAGTCAGAATATCATTAATCACTTTAAACTTACATGAGCAATGCCATCATCACAGCTTTCTGTATGTCAGATGTAGTTCCTTACAATTACTGTGGGGATTATTCATTTAAAGGAACACTCCACTGATTTTAATTTGTTTTTCACAATTTAGTAGACTTACCGCATGTTTTTCTGCATCTAGGATATATGAAGAAACAGTTTACAAATGCTGCATCCCTTTATCTCAGACACATATTTTCAGTGTGTTCCAGTGAATAAACCAATCAGAGTCTTATCATTGGGATTCCTCTATGCTGGATCCGCGAGTCCTACACATGGTTGCAGCTTTCCTATGCGTTTGCGTCTTACTGAGACTTAATACAGCTCACTGAGAAGGAGGGAAGGCAGGCACCCTATAGCTTAGCACGTTAGCACTGCGGAGCTAGCAGATGCAGAAGTAGAGAGGTGTTTTTGCCCCCAATTATAAAAGTGATGATTTGTATTGAATTCAGCACTTTTATAAACTGTCACAAATAGGACAGATTCCAGCGTGCTGAAGTGCTTTATGTGTCTGGAGTGTTCTTAACTACTAATTATATAACATTAACAAAATCAAAAGTATTGCAATGTATAAATCAAAATACATGTGTTATAAAAAAAATCTCCATCTTGGCTTTAACAGCATTAATCCTGCCCCACCAGAATATCTCCTTGTTTTCCATGATTTAAAGTTTATATTAATCTCTTTAATTAAGGGTAATAAGTTCATCTCAATCGATTTGTTTTGGATTTGTTGAGATATTTATGCTCAAAGGAAATTATATCTTGCTGCAATACCATTATCCTACTAGGATCCATATGAAAAGGGAGGACGATTGATTTGGATGTATTGAGCTTATAATGCGAGAGCCGACTATACCTCCTTATGACTTCCATTAATTATTTCGTGGAATTAACAGGGTCCTCCATAATTAATTATCAGAATGTCATCTGCATATAATTTCATTTTGATCTCTAGTTTGTCTGTAAATCCTTTTATCTTGGGATTGTTTCTAATTTTGATGGCCAGGAGTTTAATGGTCAAGACATATAGCAGGGGTAATAACGGGCAGCCTTGTCTTGTCCTATTTGATTTGTCGAGTCAGTTGGAAGTAGATCCATGACTTAAAATTCTCCCTGACGGTTTATACTATAAAGCCGTGATAGCTCTAAAGATACTGCCTGTGAACCCAAATTTTTTTTTAAATGTTCGCTAAAAAATCACAGTTGACCCTGTCAATGGCCTTCTCCGCATCCAGTGACAGGATCATTAGGGGGTCTCCCATTCCCTAGCCAGTTCGAACACATTTAACAGTGTTCGTGTATGGCTTGACTAAGATCTTCCTGGTATGAAACTGACTTGATCTATATGATAAGGTCAGTAATAACAGTTTTCATTCTTTGTGCCATCACCGCTGTGTACATATCAATATCTTCATTAAGAAGGGAAATTGGCCTATATCTCGACATCTTCAGGATTCCTATTTGATTTTAAAATAGTAATAATATTTCCTCTGGTAAGACCTTTTGGTAATTTGCCCTCATCCGCAAACTCATTGAAGGCAGCCAATAAGTGTGGGGCTAGCTCTTCTTTGAAAGTTTTATAAAAAAGACCTATAAGCCCGTCTGGTCCTTGAGCCTCTTTTGGGGTCTCGTCTATCACTTTATAAATTTCTTGAATGGAGAATGGTCTATTAAGTAATTCAATCTGAACATTCGATAATTTATTTAACCCCTTAAGGACACATGCCATGTGTGACATGTCATGATTCCCTTTTATTACAGAAGTTTGGTCCTTAAGGGGTTAAAGGCTCATTTTGAAAATAAGTTTCGATTTCAGACTTTGTTGTTAGACTGTTTATATTATAGAGTTTTCATAATATTTCTTGAATACTTTAGAGATTTTCTCCAGGCATAGGCAAGTCTTTCCTTCATAAACCATTTTAGATATTTTCGATCTATGAATTTTCTTTAATATAAGTTAGAAGCTTGTCGGCCCTGTTACCTTTGTAGTACCAAAAGGTTTTTACATTTTCTAGTGTTTTGTTAATTCTATTGATTAGAAGATCCTTAATTCTATTTTCTATATCTTCAATCTGTTTTGATATATTTAATAAAGGCTTTGATTTATTACTTCTGGAAAGCTTTTCTAACTCAATATATAAGTCTGATAAAGTTTGTTCACTATATAATATATTTTAAGATGCCAGTTTAATATAGTAGCCTCTTATAACACACTTGAAGGCTGCGCATGTGTTTGCTGGGGAAGAGTCAGGGGTTATTTTTTCCTCAAAATATATTCTCTATTATAGGGGAACTCTAATAGGAATTCCTTCAATTTCCATTCAGGTCTTTTTCTTTAAAATCTATCTTTGAGGTCCAGACAAAGCATGTTAGGGGGATCTCTATTATTTGAATCTTTTTAACTCTTTGAGCAATTTCAAAGTCAGTTAAAATACAGTCGATTCTCAAATAAGATAAGTAAGATTTTGAAAAACAAGTATAATCCCTTTCATAGGGATGGACAGTGTGCCATAAATCTAAAGGAGCATTATTTTGAATCAGAGTTCGAAATCGATTTAATTGATAAGAAGAGTTTCTAGTCTGTTCCCTCTCCCCTGTCTATCCATCTTTATATCTATTACACAAATAAAGTCCCCCAGCCATATAAATGAGCCTTGTTTTATTTTGTCTAACTTTTCCCAAAAATTAGATATAAAATTCATAGGTAGCTTATTTGGTGCATATGCATTGGCCAAAGTGTACAGAATTTGATTAATATTGCATATTATTATTAAGTATCTACCTTCATCATCTTGTTCGACATGTTTAATTTTTAGATCTAAAAACTTAGAGAAAAAAATAGCAACCCCTCTCTTTTTTTCTGTCAAGCATAGCAGAATGGATAATAGAAGGAAAGTCGTTAGAACAAACTCTTCCTGAACACTGACAAAACTGTCACAATGATCTTTGGAACAGTACCTAAATTACACAAATTACACAATTCCCACCTATCCATCAAAACAAATTCAAATGGCACACTGACCGCAGTCCACTCTTTCAAATACTTGGGTATGATGTTAGACCCCAATCTATCTTTTGGCCTGCACATAGAAAAGCTTGCATCTAAACTTTATCCAAAATTAGGTGCCCTGTACAGAAACAAATCCTGCCTAAGCCCTACAGTAAAGGAAAAGATTGTACAGCAAATGCTGATGCCAATAATTGACTATGGGGATGTAGTATATGCATCTGCATCGCAATCCCACATTAGTAAACTCAACACATTGTATAACTCGTTCTGCCGATTTGTGCTACAATGTAACAGGACTCACCATTGTGACATGCTAAAAGAACTAAAATGGCTGTCGCTGGAATCCAGACGCACCCTTCATCTTACCAGCCTTGTGTTTAAGAGCTTTTCTTCGAAACTCCCACCCTACCTGAACAAAATGTTTTCCCCAGCTATTCCCACTTCTTATAAGCTCCGATCCAGTACCAACACTTTACTTAGTCTACCTCAATACAAAAAGAAAAGAGCCCGATCCTCCTTCTAATACAAAGCACCGCAATTGTGGAACGACCTCCCACACAATTTAAAATCATTCCTAAGCCTAAAGTCCTTTAAGAGATCCCTCTCTACATACCTCAAAACATAATGCACCTGTCATGGTTGATTATATATTTCCTACCTGTTCTATGTTAAATTTTTTATTTATTGTGTATTAATATTGTTTCTATATTTTATTGTACTCTAATGTAACAATGCAATGATTTGTGGACCAAGGACATACTTGAAAACGAGAGAAATCTCAATGTATCTTTCCTGGTAAAATATTTTATAAATAAATAAATATAAATAAATAAAGAATTATAATTAAATGTATCTATTCGTCTCCAATTAGTTTCTTGTGTTGCTCCTATATCAATGTTTTGTCTTTTCAAAGCTTGTAACAGAATCGATCTTTTGAACGGGGAGTTAGGCCCCTGCATGTTCAAAGAAGCAAGCTTAACCATTATCAGATTTTTGGTCCCTCCCACTCTCTACCCCAAAGTCGATAATAAAGTTCATTAAAGTAAAAGAAGAAAAAGGAAAACAGAAAAAAATAAACTTCAGGCATACAAAGGTAAAATTACCTTAACTAGAGAATTACTTTAGGTTTGGATATGTTTACGCCAATTTATCTTAGCTTAATACAAAAACAAGTAATGCATAACTTCAAGGCTTTGCTACGTAATCCTGACTTATGCCATTTTGTCCTAAGTCAGGGAATTTCCCATGACGTGTGCACCCTTACGTTTTAGTTAAGGCCTTGTATCTTTGCTAAGTTCAGGGAGGTCCTAAAATGAATAAGGTAAAAGTAGTTTGACAATTCATATATGAACTACGGTAACCTTAAAATGAGAAAAAAGTATAAATATGTGGACCTTTTAAATGTTAACAGACAGAGAGGAGAGATTCCATCTTATAATGACTGAGAGGGGCTCAGGAGGGTATGTTATTCTATTTTAATGATATTGCAAGCATAAAGTTAATCTTGTAAACTCTGCTATAAATTATTGTAGTGGATTTTATATATCTATATTTATATTTTTATATAATAAAATATCTAAAAAGACAAAACTTTATTGCTTCCAAGACAATCCTTAGTTTATATTGTATTCTCAATTATTTATTTATTTTAAAGAGAGGATCTCTTACTGACTATATAAAATTATGGTTAAGATATCTGTATGGTTAGCCCTACTAAGTTCTATAGTACAGAATAAAGTGCTCAGCGCAAAGATGGAGTAATATTAATGCTCTATCTCCCAGAGCTTTATATCACCATATGTGTAGAAAAGGTGAATGTAGGTATACCTGAATTCAGTATAACTCCTTCTCCAATAATGGAGATAAAAACACAGGTTTTCCTATATAATATAAAAGGGAAGAACTCAGAGGGCAACAATGTTACAATAGTGAGTCAAACATTCAAATCTCTGTATGGTCCAACTCACATTTATTTGAGCCTGTTATATCAAAACCGGCTCAGGTAATATCGCTTTAAATGCAGTGTGTGGATCCAGGCAGGTTGGACACTACCACAGCGTGCACACCAGGACTTACTCACATGTTGCCTCCTGAACGTTACCAGCAATGCCATAAATGTATATTCTGCTTTTGTTTTACTAGAAAAGTATGATTTTTCTCTTTTTCCAATGGTCTATTTCTTAACATGCCTAGCTTGATGCAGACGTGCCCCAAAAGCCTAGTGGTTTACAACTTTTAAGCCTGCTACATATATGTCTTGCCGAACCCTGCAGAATATGTGGCCTTTAGCCTTTATGTATGTTTAGCCTGAAATAATTTAATCTAAGAGTATGCTAGCTCTAAGACACACTTTTCGTGGTAGTAATCCTTTATTATCAACCGATATGTCTTATTTTCACCTCGTTTTTACCTAACTAGTACAGGCTATAACTTAAGACATAATTACCTAACCTGCATTTATTAACAAAAAAATGGTGCCATTCTTGCATGCCATAGTTACATAGTTACATAGTTACATAGCTGAAAAGAGAATTGCGTCCATCAAGTTCAGCCTTCCTCACATTTGTTTTTTGCTGTTGATCCAAAAGAAGGCAAAAAAA